TAAGACAGTCTATGCTCATTAAAGGCTTGTAACTCTGGTACCAAATTTGACCCAGCAAAAGGGCTCAGAATTCTTTCTGCATGAGTCTCAGGATTTCCAGGAAGATAAAACAATGCCTCTTCACAGGTCTGAAATAATGAAATCTAATTATTGTTGCTATGCAACCAGAGTAATTAGAGCCTGGAGAATGCAGCTGTAAACAGATTTAACTGCAGACATGTTGGTGTTAACAGGACTATTGCACACCTAACTAGCATAATATTTAAAGACTTACACATTACCAAAATAGGAAGCTACCAGAAGTGGAACTGTGCCAGTGCTTTCATAAGAAACTTTTAACACATTAAGAAGTGTACATTAATTACTTTGGAAGGAGAGGTAAGCATTCAGCACTGGGCTTGGGGAAGGCACACTTGGGAGAATCCTAGTTGGTAATAACAGCGATGCCAGACAACAAAGGAAAGATCTCTGCATGTTTTACTGAGCAGACCTTCTGATGGATGTATTCACTACGCCATCATGCGGGCAGCACTAATTACTGCACACACTAAAAAGTAACAACATTGTTAACGACTTCCTGACTGTTAGTCAGTTAATCAATTTACAATCAAACTTGCACGAGCAAAAGAAATCTCATTTATATACCCTTCACACTTTAACTGCCCTGACATCCCACTTACATATATAAAACTGTGTCCTATATGACAGCACTATTTGGTGATCATCATACCAGGGTTTTGAACGAAGTTAGCTCTTCTTTTACTTCACCTCTCATCAATTTCTGTCCTAATAGATACACAGTCTAAGTACCATTGCAAAGACTTCATTTAGCTTTTCCACAATGGTGTTATATTGCTACCTGCCCATATATCAGGTCTACAGATAATCTACCAGGATTCTCAGTTATGCTTTTTCTTTTCATTAGTCTGTCAGCAAAGAAAAAGCAGAGATGGAAAAATCTAAAGACAGATAACAACAGCAGCATGATGGAGTTCTTGTAAAACCACTATCAGAGATGCAGTCAAGGGGAAATAAGAGATTAAAACCAAAACAGAAAAGTTTTTAAGCAATGATTTTGTATTCAGTAGATGTCCCTTTTGGAGTGAAAAAAATGAACAGACCTCCACAGTAAATAAGCTCTCCTCTTTTAACTATAGTTTTGCTAGCAAGTGCAAGAGCACACAAAGCATTAACAATCCTATTATTTTGTTCAAAAGCCAGTACTGAATGACATTTTACCCTTGCTCTCTTATTCCTTTTAATGTAAAAAATTCCTACAGTCACCCTCATAGAGATACTGAACTTCCTTTTGCTGGAGTTCAGAGATGACATTATGACAAATACCAATTGCTGTTCCTTACCAGAACAAAGTTACAATTAACGAACCACTCCTCCTACAGAAATATCACATCAGCTACTCAAGTGTTAATAATCTACCTTTGTAGAAGTGTTGTTATAACATATATAAGGTGATATTGATGTATTTTAGCCTCTAAACCAATTAACAGGAGAGGAAGTATTTCATTCCTTTCTGCAAGACAACTAGGTACTTCATTTTCAGCACTGAAAATACCTAGCTATAGCTATTGCTCCAAAGTTTTGAGCTGAAATTTCATGAAAATAGCACATAAACAGAATGGCTTATTTGCCACAGATGTTTGATCGCTAGATAAAGATTATGATTGTTCCATGTTACAACTCTCATTTGCCCTACTCAGTTTTATGGAGATTTATACAGGCTTGCACATTTTTTTCCCAAAGACCATTCCACAGGTCTAAGCAATATTTTTAGTATTTTTATCTAGATGCCTTAAAGCAATCACTAAAAACAGTCAGCTATTAAGGATAATAAACTGATAAGTGTCAGCATTTTCAATGCCTTATTTTTGCTAAGCCCTTGTTATTTGAGGCATTACCTTGTATCTTGTATTTTCTTATTTTCATATGCATATTTGGGGCCTATAAGGATGCTGGGGAGGGACTCTTCACTAGGTACTGTAGTGACAGGGCAAGGGGTAATGGGTTACAACTTGAAACAGGGGAAGTTCAGGTTATATACAGGGAAGTTATTTACTGTAAGGGTGGTGAGGTACTGGAATAGGTTGCCCAAGGAAGTTGTGAATGATCCATCCCTGGTGGTATTCAAGGCCAGGTTGGACAGAGCCTTGGGTGACATGGTTTAGCGTGAGGTATTCCTGCCCATGGCAGGGGGGTTGGAACTTCATGATCTTAAGGTCCTTTCCAATCCTAACTATTGTGTGATTCTATGATTCCATATATAAAACAAGCATAAAATATGCTCATTTGGAAGACTTCTTAAGAAAGGCTTGAAAGCAAGAAAATCTTTGGGGCACGAAATCTCTTAACTTGATCGAAGCCCTGTTCAATTATGCCAAAATTACACCCTGCTCAGGCACAGAAGGTGCATAGTTTGTTTCGAGGAGTGGTTTTCGTTGGTTTTTGTTGCTCCTTTTTTTTTTTTTACGTATAGAAGAGAAAACTTAGGCAAAAAACACGGAAGGAACATCACAGCAACCAACCTCTTATACATATCCAGCAGTCTTCTTTTTTGTTGTGCTTAGCAAGCTCATCTTCAGTCACTTCAATTAGTCTCCCTTTTAAACCAGTCATGTCTTTCCCACTTTTAGTTAGTCGAATCCAATCCATAAGACTCCTTCCTGGCTTTAAAGGTACCTGAAAAATAACAAACATACAAACACTGTTAAACTCTAAAGGAAAAAAGAGCCATTCAAAACACTTTTCTAAACTCCCTAGGATGACTCAAACAAAACAAGAAATAACACAACCTGCATTCTTGACTGATATTTGGGAGCCCTGCTCAGCAGTAAGGGTGCTTAAGGAAGCATCCTATCTGGTAACCCAGACAAGGGAATTATTGAATATGAACAAACATTTAGACGACTCTTCACAAAGCAAAATGCAGATACCAAGTCCTCCCGTGGTGCTAAAAAGCTTTTACCAGCATCACTTGAGATACAGCCCGGAAACTTACCAGCAACAAAGAAGAGAGATTTGAAAATCATGGCCAAGTAGGGCAAGGTAGGAAAGTTCACCTTCACAGCATTCATAAAGACTTTCTGCAAGCCCTATAGCAAATGGAAATCTCACCCAGAAAAAGGTGGGACCAAACTCTTCCAGCCTACCAGGGATGCAATAGCCATGGTGTGCCCAGAAAGACAGAGCAAGATCTTCAGAGTGTCTAGCACCTTCCTTTTCAACACCACCACAGAGCGGGAACCCCTTTGATTCGAGCTCTTTAACAGCACGGAACAGGGTTAGAGAATTGTGGTCTTACAAAACCGCAGCAAAACCAGAAGCAAGAAAACTAAAGAGCACATAGACCCACATCACTTGATGGTACTTTAGTCAGAGTTTGCTTTCCAAACCTCACATCTACAGACACCAAGAGCCCCCCAAACCACCCCGTCTTCAGAGTAAGCTGAAAGTCTCCATATCCGCACAGGAGGAACTGAAGACGGGCTGAGAAGACAGAGCAGGAAGCATTATCACCACCACCTTCGAAAACGAGAAGTACGAAGCATTTTTCGGCGAAGCAGCCCAGCCCAGGGGCTCTGCCACAGCCGCTAGGTTCCCTCAGCAGCTGCTGGAGTAGGAGACCTCTGGAGGAACGCAGCCAGCCGCAACCCCGCCCTAGCCGGAACCGGGAGTCGACCGGCAAGCCCCAGCAGCTCCGCCGAGAGGGAAGCTCAGCCGAGGCAGCCGGCAGAAACGCAGCGGGCAAAACACCGGCCTCACCGGGCCCTCCAACCCCCACCAAAGCGTCGGTCACCGCAGCCCCACGGCCCGGGCAAGAAGCAGCGGTACAGGGCTCTGCGCCGCGGTGCCGGGGAAGGCCCCAGCGCCGGCTGCGATTGACTCCTAGCCCCGCGACGGCGGCCGAGCTGCACCTACCTTAGCGCGGCCGCCTGCTGCCGCCCGCTGTTGGGAGCTGGGCGCAGGGAAAGCCTGCGGCGGCACATTCAACATGCTGCCGGCCGAGCTGCGGCCTGCGCCCCGGAGGGCAGGGGGGCGGGATGAGCGCTCCAGCGCAGGGCGCAGGCGCGGGATGGGCGGGGCGCGGGCCTGGGCGGGGTTGAGGCGCGCTAGTGGCTTTGGGGGCGGAGAGTCTTCTCGCTGCCGGGGTCTGGGCTGATAGGATGAGATCGCCTGGCATTGATCATTCCTCGCTGCCACCGCGGGGCCTGGGGGTTGCCACCGCAGGACGGGGCGGTGCAGGTGCGAGGAGAGGGGTCTGCGTATCTCGTACACCTCCTTGTCTCCCCTGGGGAGTTCGTCGTGCGTCGCACTCAAGTCGGTTTAATGTCCAGGCCCCCCAGATACGACGGGGCAAGCTTTGCAGGGATGGTGTTGGCACGCCGAGCCAGCCCTGCCTGCAGCAGCACACACACGGGCAGCTTCAAGTACATGTGCTGGCAGTGGAATAGAAGTTTTGGCTTTTTTGTTGCTTCAGTTACCATAGCCAAGCTCAATCAAAACAGCTCACACTAGACATTTCTTGATCTCTGCTTTACAGACTAAAGCAGAGATCAGTACAGTTTCACACTGTATTTCCATATAACAATATAGCTCGTGTACATGACAGCACGAGTAACTTAAAGAAGGGGGTTGCCTTAAAAGCAAAAACTAGAGTAGCAGTTGCACCCTTCTCTCCAACCAGGAAAGAGATATTTCTCTTTTCCATGTTTGAAACTCCATTGTAACAGCATGACTGATTAAGAGTACTTAATCCAATGATTCCTTGACATGCTTCCACAGGGAGCCTACTAAATCACTATGAAAATGCTCAGTGTCCTCAGACTTTGAGGAAGTCACATAACCTTTGAGCCCCTTAAAGCACGGCTTCCTTCTGTGCTTCTACAATTGATGTCTACAAAATATAGGACCTCAGATAAAAATACTAATCAACACCTTCCCTACCTAAAACATAACAGGAATAGAACAAAGAAAAAAGTTTCAGATAAAATTACAAGACATTTCAGTTTTATTAAGAATAACTTACAAATAAATTATCTTTAAAAATACTATAATACATTTTTATATTAGGTTTAAATTAAGTCTTAGAAGTTCTGTTGGCCTTTCCTGAAGTCAGCAATCTGATGCTGTTCTTGAATCTTGCTCCTGTTCATCATCTTCACTATCTGAGTCTTCATAAAAAGAAATTGTAGCTTGAACTGGAAAGTTTTTCAGAAGTGCTTCGGCTTCCTGATATAAGTAATCGTAGCACCTTGATTTGGGCCAAAATAGTCTGAAACAAGAACACAGTATGTTTGCTTGTTGTTATTGCATATTCTACTTGGAGGCTGACAGACAACAAAGTGAAATTCTGTTAAGCATCCTACAGAGTTTTTCCTTCACATGCTAAACTGCTTTCTACATTTAAATAGAAATTCCCCAGATTCTGTATTTTTGTCTGAAGAGATAAAGATGCACTTAAAGTGTTGTTTCCACAGCAAATCTGCTGTAAACCCCAAGATCCACTGCATCTGAAACTTCCCACTCCAGTGTTACCTGGGGATCTGATCCAAGCAGTACTGCCCTCGCTGGAACTATTCCTAGGGAATATAACAGGTGTCAAAATAGGTCCCCAGTATATTTGGATTAAATTAGGAGCTTTGTTACTGAAGGTCTCAACCCAGGTGCTTACAGTGGTGTGAGACAAATCTCAAAGTGAAAGGAATGATGAAGGTCTAGGAGGATCACCCCTCTTTTCAAGAAGAATCATTCTGTGAACCAACAGACTCCTCATGGAAGATGCCCCTCAGGTCTAGATTTTTTAATATCATCTGTGTTGTATCCAGAAATTAACATAAAATTGCTGATAATACCATGATTACCAAGGGCTATCAGCTCAACCTTTAATGTATTGCAATTAATGTACTCCACAGTTCCAGTTCCTTTTCAATTAGCATTGCTATTTTGATGCTCTTTTGCTTACAGTTTGGAAATAGCTGAAAGAAACAGACAAGTCCCAAGTGCTAAGAGACCCGCACATGGCTACATAATAAAATGCTGACTACATGTTGCTTATGATACAATGTTTATGTTAAGAAAAAGAACTAGACAGTTTTATAGCAATTACAAAAAGTGCTTTCTAGGCTACTGTTTAACAGAACGTAGCTTCGAGACACAAGGTAACTGACACTTGCTTTATATCATGGCTCCATTCCCTGTGTTCCCTTCAGCATTTACTCATCCCCAAGCCCCAGAGCAGTCACAGTGAAGTCAAGGTCTGTGCCTCAGTATTTAAAGGATCAGAGCCTAGATTTGGGAGAAAGCTGCATCTTGCCTGGAATAAATATTTCTGCAATTACTTTCAGCACCTTGCAACACCTACTGGTACTTCTGAATACAGAATTGACAGTTCAGATATTGCTACTACCTTCCTCATTATAGCTGTAATTACATGAATATCTCATGAGTGCTGGCTTAGTCAGTCCATATCCTATCATCCTGCCACTCTTTCCCATACCTGCACCTGCTTCCTTGCACCGGCAGGATTGCACAGCAAACTACCCCACCTAGGTTTTTTAGTTCTGAGCACAGGAATGAGTAGCAAGGTGCTTCAGCCAAGTGTGCCACCGCACATCAAAACAAACCCTAAAACCAAACATAACTGTGCAACATGTCTAAGTCACACCGCAGCAGCATGCCTGCATCTTAAATTGCTGGTAAACCCACAAGCGCTGACAGTGATTCACTCAAAGGCCTGTCAATCCGTGAGCACTTGGATGGCTAAATCACTCCGAACAATCTCTACATAAATGCATGGGTGGGAACAAAAGGGGCGGGGAGCCGCTCGATCAGCCCAGTAACACACTCCCGATTAAGGAACTCTCCCCTCTTTCCCCGCAGCGCCGTACAGCGGGCCCCGGTGCTGCCCCGCAAGAACCCGCGGCAGGTCAGGACATCCACTTACCTGACGGGATGCGTGTACTGCGCCAGCTTTCGGGAGGCTTCCGCCAGCCCGCAGAGGCGGTGTGGCTGCCGGGGAGAGAGCAGAGATCAGCCCACCGGCACAGCACGGCACCAGCCCTCGGGGGGCCCCGCCAGAACTCCATAAACGCTTCTACCGGACCCCCCCCCTCGTGCCCCACTCACCGCGGCGGAATCGGTGTCGGTACCGCTCCGTCTTACCGCCTCGCCCGGCGCGGCCACCCAAGGCCTCCAGAAAGGCGTAGAGCTGCGGGACAAGGGTAGGATCGTTAGGGCTGAGCTAGTCCGCGCCCTGCAGAGGGCCGAGGCTGCAAGAGGCGAGCATCCCTGTGGGGACAGCGCTGCTGGGGATGGGCAGATACAGGCGCACCCCGTCCCGCAGCCAGCGCCCATCCTCTGCCCGTGCATGGCTGCTCGCCTGGCCCTGTTCGCTCCTGGCCTGGAGGGTTTTATAGCCGGCGGCGGAGCCCACCTCCCCCAGCTCATTTGCCAGCGCCATCCACAAAAAGGCTCCGCTCGAAGGCGCCGCTGTGTAAACACGGGGCGCGGGCACGTGCATGCTCCAAATGGCCCGGGGGGGAGTGTAGGGAGGGAGGGAGGGGGGTTTCGCAAGTCGGTGTTAATCGCACTTGAGCAGACACATGGCTGATGCTCGCGGGAGTGGCGAGCCCCTGTGGGAACAGAGCGGGAGGAGAGCAGCACGGGGGAAGGGTCCGGTTCGCTCTCCCGCCCCGTTGTTCAGTGTCAAGCAGCCGCCGGCACGGCCTTTTGTCTTTAAAACCCTGTTTATATACCGCCCCGAGCGGCGAAGCAACGCTTGTGGGGAGGAAGGGAGGGAGTGAGGGCGGAACGGAGAACCAGCGGCTCCGCGCCTCCGGGCACCGCGGCCCGCGAGGGTGCTGGTACCGGTACCGCCGCTGCTCCTCGCGTCCGAGCCGGCGGGAGCCGTGGGAACGGGAGCGCTTCCCGAGGCGCCCACGCGGGGTCCGCTGGCACGGACAGAAGAGTCTCACCCTGGAGGGTGGAGAAAATGATGCTTAACACCGCGTCACCCCCCAACACACACCGTGACATGCTCCCCCTACGATACCATTGCTTTCTTAGTGTGCGCCCACGTACACTGGGTCAGGTTTGGTGTTTGTTTTTTGATTTTGTGTTTTATATGTTGTATTTTGACCAAGCAAACCTGATGTCCTTTATTCTTATTCATGTGGTCCCGCTCCTTCATTCGCTGCCAGCATGAGATAACTGCTACTACATGCAGGAGGTTTCATGCCAGACTTGTACCGTTTCCATGTTACCTGGTACCAACAGTTTATTATTATGTCTATTTTCATTTTTCTTATCCTCCCTCCGTCCCCTTTTCTTTCCGAGGTTACATCACTGATGCATGGGAGGGGGATGGAAACAACAGAGTGGTCGTATATAGGAGCTGGAGTACCAGTAATAATACTGGGGAAGCCATAGAGGGCTGGTGGGCTGGAGGTGCCCTAGATGCTGGAGAAGGGCTTCAAACCCAGGTCATTTACTAGTATTTCTTAGGTACCACAACGACCAAAGCACTCTACTCTCTGCAACAAAATTTTGCTTTCATGAGTGTGGCCATAAGGAGTGTGCTTACCTTAGCTCTGCCCAAAAATAGCTGCAAAGAGGAAGCTACTTGTACCTTCTCCACAATATCTTTGGCACATTTCACTGAATGGGATCCTACATATTAGAAGCTGGGTAGAAATTTAATCAGGTGAATATTTTCAGATCTTTAAGTCAAAACCAGATGTAGAGTGCATCACCTCTCTGAAGAAAAGAAACCTCTTCCTTTGAAAGAGAAATAGATGGAAGAATGCATATATTTAAGCTTGCACATGCTGTGATACATTCCAACTTCAGCAGTGGATGTATTCTGGTATTACAAAGATTTTGGCATTTGACCAATTGGAAAAACTGGTAATTATGAGTTCACAAGTTATTCAAAGGAAAAGCATTACATTGTGAAAAACCTAGTTTAGTAGGACATTAAGGTTGAGCCAAATGTTTATAAGACTAACATTTCCAGAATACTTTTGCTGCACTGTGATATTTGTAGTTGGTTTTTTTTCCCCGCTTTATTTTCACTGTGGTCTTGAGTCAGATTAATTAAAATCTGAATGAACAAAAGGCTAAAATTCCCAGTAAATACTTACCTTACAGTTTAGACAATAGGGCAAAGTAATTTCTACAATAAGCTGAGTTTGATCATAAGCAAAATTGTATCTATTTTTCCTCTGTTTCCAAACGGCTACTTGTGAAAGCTCGTCTGATGAGGTAAAGTGTAAACCAGATGTTTAAAAGCGGTCTGATGGTAGATTCTTCTTTTGCCTAAATGAAGTGAGAGCAATAATTTTTGTAGTTGGTATTTCTCTTTTGAGAAATATAGCAGAGGCTGTGTAAGACAATAAATAAATAAATAAATAAATAAAATAGAGGGCAGGGGGATTTTCTAAAGAAGAAAAGCAGAAACATCATTCATCACGAAGGACTAAGAACACAACATCAGCTTTATCTGTTTGAGAAGTAAAAAATTTAGTTTCAGCATCTACAGTAAAACCAACAAACCCAGGGGTGATTTTGGCCAATGATTCTTAATTATCTCAAGATTCTTTTTAATACCTACCTGAAATGAGAAAACGCCCTAGGGAGAAAGTGTGATTTACCCATTAGAGAGCAAACTGAAACAGAGGTGTTGAAAGGATAAGGAGAAAATAATGACTAACAGCTGTTGTTCCCCAGCATATTTTCACACTATATGACTCCTCTTGGCTTTATAGTTTAGTAATGCAGTCTTAGTTATTGAGAAAAATACAGTATCTGTCTTTGCATAGTTATTTCTTATTACTGACATCACAAAACAAAACAAAGAAACAAACAAACAAAAAAACCAACCAAAAAACCCACCCAAACAAAAAGTCTCTAACATTTTGTTCTCTTCACATTGACCTTGAAATATAGGCTAGAAATTGTTAAACCAAGGCTAGAAAATTCTTTGTAATAGCTGTCTTTTCTTCTTTGGTTTGCACACAGAGCAAAAGTTACAGTACATTGGTAAGTTACTAAACCACCCATGCTAAAATCTCTGTGGCAGGAGCTGTTTACAGCCACTGAGAAAGTAGCTGGTCAAGTGGGAGATATGGAACACACGTAAAATGGGGTTTTTGCATATAGTAGTGGAAATCATAGTTCTGAATTCAACATGAAGTCTGATAGAGGCAGTCCCTTCATACATTCTTGGATCATCTAATTAAAATTATATTCTCCTTTCTGTGCCTTTTGTTTTCTCAGAATGTATACAATGCAGTATTTATTCAGAATGAAAGTAATTCACTTGTTTTAGTTTAAATTGATTAAAAGTGCTTTTGTGGCTTTCTGCAGTATGACATCTTGAAATGTAATGCACTGTTAATAAGATACACAGAAGAGCAAACACAGGTCTGTGCAGATTTGAGTGTGCTACTATAAACAAAGAAGGTGTTCACAAATGGCTTAGAGCTAAATTTGACAAGACAGTGCTAATCACACTTGGACATGGGAATATCTGGACAGAGGATGCTCAGCTGGCTTCATATTATCCTCTACACAGTCAGTGATAGCTTTCACTTATTAGTAAAACAGGCATACTGCATGAAAATTATTGCATGAGTATATATAGTATATATAGAAAGAATTGGCTAGATCTTGCTAAGCCTTTGTTCTAGTGAGAAAGGCGAGGTCAAACATATGGAACTGCTCCTCTGCTTACTGAAACTGGGTTCAGTTTCCTCACTCATTAACAGTCAAAATCTGATCTTGAGTATTTTATAGCCTAACTTATCTTGATGCTTCCAATTCCAGCAACACTTCAGGACTGGATTTTGGAAATTAAGTGTGTGCCTGGTATTTGTATACAGATACTGACTGTACACACATAATTTATTTACGTGTTTGGTCTATTATCTCATAAATGTTTTTTTATCCATTAAATGCAAATTTTCATAGGACATAAATGTGCACAACCTTGGGAGATGTTAATCTGTGTGCAAGTGTTATTAGTGGAAATTTTGCAGTACTGTCTTATGAGGTAGCAAGCATTTTTTAGTTGTGATATGATATATGGGACATTTTCTGCTATAATTTGAAGGTGAAGCATCAGTTTTTAAAGAACAAAGAACAGCACAGATGTTTTTACCAACCTCTGTCTTCACGACTATTTGGTTTTGATACAGTATTTTCTATATCACTAATATACCTGAAAGTGGGCTTAGTTCAACATTTCTACAAAATGATTTTTTCTTTATCAGTAAATGAGATCCAAACTAGGTCCTGAAGAATAAAACAAATACAGTGAAGTTTTCTTAGGGGAAAAAATAGATGGAACAGGACTTAATCAGCAGATCAGTCTATTCATATTACCAATGGCTGTAAAACTATTCCTTGGCTAATAAAGACCCTGCTTGTTCTATTGGTGTTGTGTATTTTTATTTGCATCCTACTTACATACAAAAATGCAGCACATATCCAAACAGTGTAGTTCCACTGAAGCCCAAGTGCCTGGTGATTCCTATGGAGAGTTATGTTTGGAGGCCTAAAGATGAAATGCTTTTTTGTGAAGACATCCATCCTATTTCTCTCCATCTCTCTGGATTTTGACTAGGCTGTAACAGCATTTAAAACCATCATTCTTTCATTTTATGGAGGAAATTATTCTTCCCCTTCCACTATTCAATTGGGTTGCAGGAGTTCTGAAATTAAAACTTTTTTCTAAGGAGGGATGCATTTCCAGGAAAGAACCCTTTTTGTTCTGTTTGGAACCTAGTTCCTGATGACTTAGGTTAACAGGATTTAACAGCATCTGGCCTCACTGTAGGGCACAGCTCTACAGTCTGTTCTGTCAATGAGACTGAAAACCTTTAGCTTTCCCAGATTTATACCAGTCCTGACGCCGTTATGAACTTTGTGGTCACATGCACGTTCGGGTGATCATTGGTGTCTGCTGGGGAATAAGCAATCCGTGTGTGTTTGTGTGTGTGGCACATGCACACCTATTTGAGGCCCCTGCATGTACATGTGGCAAGGTGTGAGTCCACACAGCAAGTTGGGCTTGCTCATTTCCCTCCCCCATTGCACTCCGCTCCCAGGCCCAGGCTGGCAAATGGTGACAGATAGCATATCCACATGGGAAAGTGACACATTAAGGGACTGAGAATGTGTAATGGGATCAGCCACCGGTTACAGGGATCTTTTAAAAAAATAGGAATCTCACTTGCTGTTATGGGCACTTTAAATTCCACACATATAAGAAACAGAGACATTGGTGCTGAACGCCAGCCTTGTAACTTCTTTTAATAGAATGGGAATCAGTGAAACACTGATGCATCATTAATGCTGGGGCTCAGCAAAAATGTCTGGCTGGCTGAGTATAATGCAGCAGAAGTCACAGTGCTGCAGTTGGAGCACAAGGTGCTGCAGTATGGCACTGGCAGGATCTGCTCTCTCAACCCCCAAAAATAAGCCAAGTGAGATGAACTCACTCTAGTCCAACAGCTATTGACAGAAGAGATAAAGAAAGTCAATAATCATTGTCCTGATTTGACTCCTCTAGTAATATGGTCCCTAGCAGTGTCATCTCTCCTCTCACAATGTTCCATTCAATCAAGTGTTTCTTCAGATTTATTCCTTTCCTGGCTACAACAATAGTTGTGGAAGCAGAGTGGTTGTTTTTCAGTTTCCTCTGTATCTCCAAGACATCAGCACAGCATCAGCTCTCAAAAAGG